GGGAGGGCCTCCCCCCACCCACGCTGCAGCTGGCAAGTCAGGCTTAAACTGGCACTGGAGCCTGGCCCACTGGGCTCTCTCCCTTGTCTGCCTGCCACAGGCTGGTCTCCAAGTGCCAAGTTCCTGGGGGTCTGCATGCCGAGGAGCTGCAGTGCTGGCACTGTGAGGTCTGGGGCAGGTGCCAACGCCGGTGGCTTGCTGACCCTAGCCTGGGCCTGGCAAGCGTGTAGGGGCTGCTCGCCACGGCCTGGGGCTATTAGAGGCAGTGCACTGTGACCCCAGAGAGATGTGCCTATTGCGGGTCAGAGCCTCCGCTCTAGGTCAGAGCAGGACAGGGCCCAGGCCCTGTGGTGGCTGCCCTGCCCCAGCCCCAGGGCGCTGCTCACCGGTTGCGGATGCTGACAGTCCAGGGTGAGTTCCCAGGGAGCCCTCCCACGATACGGCCCTTCAGCTGCAGGCGCTCGTCTCTCTTGCCGCACTGGTCGAAGACCACCTGGTCTGCAGGCACAGGGGAGTCAGGCCGTGCCGGCTGCCTAGTGTGCAGGCAGCTCGCACCCCAGACCAGCGAGGGCAGGGGGGCACTCAGGGCTCTGCAGCCTCTGTTCCTGAGCACACACACCCCACTTGGCCCACCCCAGACTCTGGCCCCAGTACTTTACCTGCAGCCTCCAGGATGGAAGGTGTCTTGTCACCAGCTGGGGGAACAAAGCAGGGGTGGAAGGTCAAGCATGATGGTGCCAGGCAGGGAATGGCCAGAGTATAGCCTGGGGACCCTGGGGCTTCATTCCCTGAGGGGCCACCCCGCCTGGCAGAGACCTAGCGCCTCTCACTGCTGCTTCTAACCTTGCCAGGCCCCTTTGGACGTTCCAGCAGCACCGCCCTGGCACTGAGCCCGAGCCTCGCTGCAGCCCTTAACTCTGCCCCTTCGCCCCCACCCAAGCCCCTCCTCGCCGGGCCTATCCGTGAGCCCAGCTGCCTGGCACCAGCACAGAGGGGGAGGTAGAACCCGGCGGGCCACTAATCCATGCATCCCTCTGCCAGGCCAGTGCCCAGGGCTACCCAGCATGGGCCCAGAGCACCGGGAGGCTGGGGTGGGCTCTGCTGTGGAGAAGGGCCCTGATGGGAGCAGCCTGGCCTGTGGGCTTAGAGAGTAACCCTGCCCCTCACAGTGGGTTTTCTCAGCCCGCATCATGACTCCAGTCCCCGGAGAGCCCTGGGCAGAGCCATCCCCACTGCATGCCAGGCCCTCACCGCACGGCTTGATGGCACAGTAATCGAACTGGGTGCTGGGGTCCATGGTGTAGCACCAGGGCCCGTGGCTGTCGTTGTCAGGGTTGCGGCAATAATTCTCCTCCAGGTGCATGGCGGGGAACATGGCGGGAGAGATCCTGGATGGAGACAGGAAAATCAGCCCCACGTCCCTCAGCCTCCTTCGCACCCCTCCCCACAGCTCCTCAGGCCCTGCCCTCCTGCTGCCTCCCAGCCCCCAGCATAGCAACGCTCCTGCCCCTCGCCCCCCACCTGCCACTTCATAGCCATTCGATCCTATGCTCCCTGTCCCTCAGTCCCCTGTCCCACGGCCACTCTTCTGCCCCTGCCTTTTAATCCCCTGCTCCCTACTCCTAAGTCCCCTACCCCCCACCCCTCAGTCCTCTGCCCCATAACCACTAAGTGCCACCATAGTTTAACAACCAAGTAAAAGAAGCAGTGAGTGGCAAAAAGTGGAAGTTAAATCCTAGTGAGGAAAATAGAAAGGAGCATCAACGCTGGCAAATGAAGTGTGAAAATACCATTAGCAAGGCCAAACCACAAAAAAGAATTTGAAAGAACAGCTAGCCAAGGCTTCAAAAAAGTAATAGCAAAATTCTGTAAGCACATCAGAAGCAGGAAGCAGCTAAACCAGTAGGACCACTAGATGATTGAGATGCTAAAGGAACACTCAAGGATGCTAAGGCCATTGCAGAGAAACTAAATTTCCAGAAAATCTTTGACAAGGTCCCTCACCAAAGGCTTCTAACTAAATAAATGCTCATGAGCTAAGATGGAAAGTCCTCGCATGGCTAGGCCTTGGTTGGAGTACCGTGTCCAGTTCTGGGTGCCACATTTTAGGAAAGATGTGAAGAAGGTCCAGCAAAGAGCAAAAAAAAGGATTAAAGGTCTAGAAAACATGAGCTATGAGAAAAACCTGAAGGAACTAGGTTTGTTTAGTTTAGAAAAGAGGAGACTGAGAGGGGACATGCTAGTGGTTTTCAGGTATCTAAAAGGATGTTGCAAGGAGGAGGGAGAAAAATTGTTCTCCTTGGTTTCTGGTGATAGGACAAGAAGCAATGGGCGTAAATTGAAGCAAGGGAGGTTTAGGTTGGACATTAGGAAAAACTTCCTAATTGTCAGGGTGGTTAAACACTGGAATAAATTGCCCAGGGAGGTTGTGGAATCTGGAGATATTTAAGAACAGATTAGATAAACATCTATCAAGGATAATCTAGATGGTGCTTGGCCCTGCCATGAGGGCAGGGGACTGGACTTGATGATCTCTCAAGGTCCTTTCCAGTTCTAGTGTTCTAGAAAAACAGGAAAAAAGGGTAAGAATGAATAAAAGGTCAGCTTTCAGACTGGAGAGAGGTAACTAGTGGTGTCCCACAGGGGTATGTACTGGGCCCAGTCCTATTCAACATATTCATAAATGATCTGGAGAAAGAGGTAAACAGGAAGATGGCAAAAATTGCAAATGATACAAAATTGTTCAAGATAGTTAAGTACAAAGCAGAACTTGAGGAGCTTCAAAAGGATCTCACAAAACTAGGTGACTGGACAACAAAATGGCAGATGAAATTCATTGTTGATAAATGCAAAGTAGTGCACATTAGAAAACATAATCCCAACTAGACGTATAAAATGATGGGATCTAAATTATCTGTTACCACTCAAGAGTGAGATCTTGGAGTCATCATGGATAGTTCTCTGAAAACATCCATTCAGTGTGCAGCGGCAGGCAAAAAAGCAACCAGAATGTTAGGAATTATTAAAAAAGGGATAGAGAATAAGACAGAATAGCTTATTGCCTCTGTATAAATCTATGGGACGCCCACATCTTGAATACTGCGTACAGATGTGGTCACCTCATCTCAAAAAAGAGGTATTGGCCTTGGAAAAGATTCAGAAAAGAGCAACAACAATAATCAGGGGTTTGGAATGCCTGCCATATGTGGAGAAATTAAGAAGACTGGGACCTTTCACCTTGGAAAAGAGACGACTATGGGGGGATATGACAGAGGTCTAGAACATCATGGCTGGTGTGGAAAAACATGAGCAAAGAGTTATTTACTCCTTCTCATAACACAAGACTAAGGAGTCACCAAACAAAATGACTAGGTAGCAGATAGAGACTGAACCAAAGGCAGGATTTCGTCACACAACACAGTCAGTCTGTGAAACTCCTCGTCAGAGGGTGTAGTGAAGGCCAAGATTATAACGGTGCAAAAAGAGCTAGAAAAATCCATGGAGGTTGGTCCATCAATGGGTGTCCCTGGCCTCTGTTTTGTCAAAGGCTGGGAATGGGTGGCAGGGGAGGGATCACTTGATTCCCTGTTCTGCTCATTCCCTCCGGGGCATCTGGCCTTGGCCACTGTCGGAAGACAGGATATCTGGCTAGATGGACCTTTGGTGTGACCCAGTCTGGCCATTTTTATGTGCGCATGCCCCCTGCCCCTCGCCCCCACTGACTCTCAGTCCCCACCCCACAGCTCTCCTGCCCCCAGCCCCACTGCTCGCCCTGATCAGGGCAAAGGGCCTGGACCCTGTGTCCCTGGGCCTCTCTCAGTGGGCCAGAAGAGGACACTCTCAGTAGGAGGAGAAGACAACACCTTACACTTACTGGGGAGTGTGGGGGGACCCTGCTGACCACTTCTGGCAGGTGACACCCTTCCGGGTCTTGCTGACCTTGCCCCTATACAACTCGCCATTTCTATGGTAACAGTCTGGGGGGAGGAAAGGGAAAAGACAGTTGTTACTGGGGGTGCGTGCCCACCCCAGATCCCTGCCCTCCCTCCCCACCACGACACCCCTCAGGCACCACCCTGGCTCAGTGCTCCCCACCTGCCCTGCTCCCACCCCCACCCCGGAAGTAATGCACACTGTGTTCAGTTAGTGCAGGGTCACCACTGGGCACTGGGGTGTGGGCACTGGGTCGTTATTGTAGGGTCACCCCAGGGCACTGGGTTGTTATTGTAGGGTCACCCCAGGAAACTAGGCACTGGGTTGTTATCGTAGGGTCACCCCAGGACACTAGGCACTGGGTTGTTATTATAGGGTCACCCCTGAGCACTGGGTCGTTATTGTAGGGTCACCCCTGGGCACTGGGTTGTTATTGTAGGGTCACCCCAGGACACTAGGCACTGGGTTGTTATTATAGGGTCACCCCTGAGCACTGGGTCGTTATTGTAGGGTCACCCCTGGGCACTGGGTTGTTATCGTAGGGTCACCCCAGGACACTAGGCACTGGGTTGTTATCATAGGGTCACCCCAGGGCACTGGGTTGTTATCGTAGGGTCACCCCAGGGCACTGGGCTGTAACTGTAGCTTGCAGGGCAGCCCAGTGTCTCCTCCCCATGTCAACCGTCCTCACCCTCCACCTCCACCTCCACCTCGTCGGTGCAGCGTTTGATCTGGAAGCAGAAGGCGACGCGCATGCTGGGCAGACTGGTGAAGCACCATGGTGCCTCGGAGCCATCTGGGTTCCGGCAGTAATTCTCCCGCAGGTCCCTGGAAAACATGCAGCTCAACCAAGGGCTCAGCATCCAGCGGCTGCCAGCCCCGGCATGCAGCCTGCCTGGTGGAGCGGGCCAGGACTTCCAAGGCTCCAGAGCCCAGTTAGCCCCCACAGACGTGTCAGAAGCAGCTCCCTCTGAACTGCCCCCTGCAGTGTGGGCTCTAGTCCAGCTGAGCCAGATCCATGCCTGTGCTGAAGGCTCAGGACCCGCAGCCACAGGACCAGTGAGCCCTGCCTGGCCTTACACTGCACCGGCAGCCCTGGCTGGCTCCCTTGGCCCTGTGCAGGGCCAGGCTGCAGCTGCCGGAGGACGCCTGCCCAGCCACAAGGGAACCCACAGCGTGAGCCAGGGAGTCTGGGGCTGGGCGCAGCACAGCTGTGTACCCCATCGAGAACCTGGCACAGCCAACCCAGCGTGCGCCTCCTCTGGGGGACAGGTGACCCCTCCCCAGCTACCCCTCCAGGACCCTCACTCAGCTAACCCCCCACAGGGACCCTATCAATCCCTCCCCCAACTTGCCCCCGAGAGCCTCCCCAGCGATCCATTCCCTGGCTAACCCCCCACAGGGACCCTATCAATCCCTCCCCCAACTTGCCCCCGAGAGCCTCCCCAGCGATCCATTCCCTGGCTAACCCCCCACAGGGACCCTATCAATCCCTCCCCCAACTTGCCCCCGAGAGCCTCCCCAGCGATCCATTCCCTGGCTAACCCCCCACAGGGACCCTATCAATCCCTCCCCCAACTTGCCCCCGAGAGCCTCCCCAGCGATCCATTCCCTGGCTAACCCCCTCCAGGGACCCCCAGCGATCCCCTCCCCCAGCTAACCCTCCATAGAGCCCCCCAGTGATCCCCTTCCCCATTGACCCTTCCCCCAACTAACCCTCCAGAGATCCCAGTGACTCATCCCCCCCAGCCCATCCAGGACCATTGCAATCCCCTCCCTCAACAAGGGCCACTCAGGGACCCCTGCGACCCGTCTCCCCTTAGCTGCCCTTGGACCATCCAGCAATGTCCGTACATACGTGCAGTGAACTCTTCCCCTGTGCACAAAGATACCCCACAACCCCCAAGGAGCTCTCCCTTGCCCCCCAAGAGCCCAATTGCCTACTTGCACTCATATGTCTCGGGCCGGAAGTGGTGCCGGTGGGGAGTCTGGGCGTCCCAGCGCTGGCAGGGGATCCCCGATGTGGTGACATTCACCTTGCCCCGGTAGCCTTCACCCTTCTGCCTGAAGCAACTGGTGGTGGGGTCCGTGAGGTGCGGGCGTTTCTCTGCTTCCGTGGATGGACAGCAGGAGAGGCCAGTGTCACTCGGGGACACCAGTGAGCGGGAGCAGGGGGTACGCTGGGGACTGGGCCGGCCATACGCTCAGGGCGGGTGGCATGTGACCAGGGCTGGCTGAGGGCTGGAGCAACGCACAGAGAGCCAGGCGGGAGAGTTGGCAGGGGAAGGTCTGTCCTGGCTCCAGGACTCAATGCTGCTGAAGCATGGAGGGGGCACTCCAGGGAGCCTGGCCAGCAGCACCTAACACCCTCTGGAGCCCCAGCCAGGCAAGGCAGGCGGGACATGGCAGCAGAGACAGCCCATCCCAGCCTCTGCCGCTGGCACCCGGCCCAGCACTTACTGCACTTGCGGATGGAGCAGAACTCCCGTTCCCGGGCAGGGTCCGTGGTGTAGCACCAGGGGCGCACAGAGCTGTCAGGATTGCGGCAGTAATTGTCATCCAGGTCCTTCTCGGGATATCTGGGCAGGGGGGGGAAAGCCATAAGATGCACAAAGCCATGCGTGCGCTCCCCTGCACGGACCCCACAAAGGAGGGTTGCAGCACAGCCCCCGCCTCAGCCTGGCAGCAACCGACCCTGGCGGGACGTGGCCAGGAGCCATGCTGCCCACGGACTCAGAGATGGGCCCTGCCTGAGCCTGGCAGTGACCGGCCCTGGCGGGACGTGGCCAGGAGCCACGCTGCCCATGGACTCAGAGCATCTTCAATCAAGCTCTGATCACATTTACTCCAGATTTAATTCAGAACAACTCATTACACTCAGTATACCTGAGAGCATATGTAAGGCAAATATGGGCCCTGCCTGAGCCTGGCAGTGACCGGCCCTGGCGGGACGTGGCCAGGAGCCACGGGCCCTGGCGGGACGTGGCCAGGAGCCACGCTGCCCATGGACTCAGAGCATCTTCAATCAAGCTCTGATCACATTTACTCCAGATTTAATTCAGAACAACTCATTACACTCAGTATACCTGAGAGCATATGTAAGGCAAATATGGGCCCTGCCTGAGCCTGGCAGTGACCGGCCCTGGCGGGACGTGGCCAGGAGCCACGCTGCCCACGGACTCAGAGCTGGGCTCTGCCATGCTGCCCACGGACTCAGAGCTGGGCCCTGCCTAAGAATGGGAGGGCCCTGCCTGAGCCTGGCAGTGACCGGCCCTGGCGGGACGTGGCCAGGAGCCACGCTGCCCACGGACTCAGAGCTGGGCCCTGCCTGAAGAATGGGGAGGTGCGCAGTGCCAAAAGCGCCCCTCTGCAGGCAACGCTGCCAGCCTGGGGACCCAGCTCTGATAGCTTGAACCCATCCTGTGCCAGAGTGCCAGGCCCCAAAGGCTCATGCTCCCCAGCCCTTAGGGATCCATAGAACTGAGCTACCCCACCCCCAGCTCTGCTCCCTCCTGAGTCCCACAAAGGCCAAGATGTTCTCATCCGATGGGGCAGGGATGTAGCTAGGACAGGAAAAGTGGGTGGGTGGGCAATGATGGGGGTGAGGGGCAGGGATGGAGGGCCCAGAAGGAGCAGGAACAATTCAGAGCAGGAAGGATGAGGAATCTGGTGCCCTAGGGATGTGGGAGGAGTCAGGAGGTATCCAGTGCCCCATAGAATCCTAGAATACTAGGACTGGAAGGGACCTTGAGAGGTCATTGAGTCCAGTCCCCTGCCCTCACAGCAGGACCAAATACTGTCTAGACCATCCCTGATAGACATTTATCTAACCTACTCTGAAATATCTCCAGAGATGAGGACTCGACAACCTCCCTGGGCAATTTATTCCAGTGTTTGACTATCCTGACAGTCAGGAACTTTTTCCTAATGTCCAACCTAAACCTCCCTTGCTGCAGTTTAAGCCCCTTGCTTCTTGTTCTATCCTCAGGGGCCAAGATGAACAAGTTTTCTCCCTCCTCCTCATGACACCCTTTTAGATACCTGAAAACCGCTATCATGTCCCCCCTTAGTCTTCTCTTTTCTAAACTAAACAAACCCAATTCTTTCAGCCTCCCTCATAGGTCATGTTCTCTAGACCTTTCATCATTCTTGTTGCTCTTCTCTGGACCCTCTCCCATTTCTCCACATCCTTCTTGAAATGTGGTGCCCAGAACTGGACACAATAATCCAACTGAGGTCTGACCAATTTGAATAGAAGGGGCCCTGGAGGGATCTAGGACCTGGCAAGATGGGGGGGGCTGCCTCCTCTCACTCCCCAGCAGGCACCCAGGGCACACAGGCTGAGGGCTGTACCTGTGCGGCAGAGCAGGGCCCCACCAAGGTTTGAGCTCCACCCTCCCCTCCCCACCCCGCCCCAGCAGGGGGTCTGCCAGCCCTGCCGCATGGCTCTCCTGCTGGTGCTACACCAGTGCCCAACCCCAGCACTAGCCCTGCCCAGCCTGGCCCCATGAGGCACCCCTTGTGGGGCTAGTGCTGAGCCAGAGAGCGGGCCAGGAGCACACCGTACTGGCAGGAGAGCCATACGGCCAGGCTGATGGACACTCAGCCAGGGTCAGGAGTCCCAGGCTGTGCCCCGATTTGGGTGGGCCTGGATGTTCAGTGGCTGGGCCATGGCCCACTCAGGCCCACCAGTAGCTACGCCCTGCTGCGGGGACGAGCAATGCTGGTACTTGTGAGGATGGTATGGGTGTGTATGGGGGTGTTGCAGGTCCCAGCGCTGGCACTCCCGCCCGGACTCCGTCTGGTCCACTAGGCCCCGGTAATCTTCCCCATTACAGGACACGCACACGGCTGCAAGAGAGAGTCATGCATCGGGCATGGAGCCAGGCAGGGCACAAGCAGGCTGTGCACGAGGGCGTCACTGGCACTGAACCCAGCGAATCCATAGTGCCTCCAGCTCTGGCCCCGGAGAGCCGCTCACATCACAGATCCAGCAGGCCCCTGCCATGCAAGGCATGGCCATGGCACCTGTGGGCTGGGGCACAGTGGGTTTGTCTGGGTGCTGTCTCACAGGCACCAGCTGTCGCCTGGGGAGGGAGGGAGCATCTGGCCATCACCTGAAGGGTGTGAGGTGTCCAGCAATTGGTACTGGCAGGTGACTACTCCATGCATGGGGGGCACCCCTGGGAAAAATATAGTAGGTGCTCAGCCCCCACTGACCACAGCTGTTCCCCACCCCCACTCATCAGCTGATGGGGAGCACTACTTCCCAACATCTGATGGGGGTGGAGGCACCAGCAAAGGGCTGATAGAGGGCAGCTGGGGGGGGCAGTGGGGAGCAGCAGGTGTGAGGAGATCTTGTAGGGATAGGAAGAGGTAGAGCAAAGACAGGGTCTTGGGGGGCAGGGTAGAGAGGGGACAACAGGCCCAGGGAAAAGGAAAAGTCAGCCCCTGTGCTTATGGAGGGGGGTTACTCACCATCTTCACATTTCTTGATGCCGCAACTCTGATGCCGGATGGCCGGGTCTGTGGTGTAGCACCAGGGCCCCTGCTCATCTTTGTCCGGGTTCCGGCAGTAATTTTCCTCCAGGCCATTCCGCAGAGAGGGAAAAAACCTAGTGGTACATGGAGAGAGCAGGGGCCGGGCTGGTTTCAGTGACTGGGTCCCAGAGAGGTCAGGCTACACAACAAACACAACGAGGAGTCCTGTCTCACCACAGAGAATAACAGATTGATCTGGGTATAAGCTTCACCAGACGCATGGAGAGGAAGTCACAGAGGCTGGGATATATGTACTAGGTCAGTGTTTCTCAAACCCTTTAAAAAAATTATAAGTACCCACCAGTACCTACAGTTTTCAGACACACAACATTTTTTTCTACCATTGCAACGTATTTGTCTAACCATAGCTGGGTGGGTGATGACATTTTTGGGTGTGAAAAGTACAAAAATAATAAAACCCTGTAAGACTTAAAACAAAAATTCAGTTTTCGACAAATTTCAGTTGTGTTGAGGCACCCCCCAGACGTCTCTCGAGTACCCCTGAGGGTACTTGTTCCACTGGTTGAGAAGCACTGTACGAGGCTAGCAGAAGGGAGTTACCTATCAAGTGTAGAACCAGTGTTAACAAGGCCAATTCAGTCACCTACTACAGGACGGGCCCAACAAGGTAAATTACAGAACACCACCAGTCATCACCGACAGTCCCCAGCTCAAACCCCTCCAGTGTATCACTGACAATCTACAACTATCCTGGAAAATAATCCCTCTCTCTCACAGGCCTTGGGAGACAGGCCAGTCCTCACCTACAGACAGCCTCCTAACCTGAAGCAAATCCTCACAAGCAGCCACATATCACACCTCAGATCCATTCACCCAGGAACCGACTCCTACAATAAAATCAACTGCCAATGCTATCCACACATCTATACCAATGGCACCATCACAGGACCGCACCACGTAAGCCACAACATCAGAGGCGCATACAACTGCACATCTAATTGATACATGCCATCAAGTACCAGCAATGTCCCTCTGCCATGTCTATTGGCCAAAGAGGACAGTCCCAAGTACCAGCAATGCCCCTCTGCCATGTCTATTGGCCAAAGCGGACAGTCCCTGAACCAAAGGATAAATAGACACAAATCAGACATTGAGAAAGGTAACAAACATAAAGCTGTATGTAGGAGAATGTTTAAACCTCCCTGGACACTCAGTAATGGATTTAAAAGCAGTCACCTTTTTACAAAAAAATGTCACAACCAGACTACAGAAAGAAACAGAAGAGCTGCAATTCATTTGCAAATTGAACATGATCAAATTAGGGCTGAATAAGGACTGAGAATGGTTCTCTCATGACCAAGGCCATTTTCCCTCTTGAGATCCACACCTCCCCTTCAGCTGCTGGGAGTGAACCACATCCCCCCCCACCACTGCATTGGCCTAGCTAACACAGCACATAGTGCAGAAGCAGAGCAGCATTCAAAGCACATGGTTCTTGTAAATGTACATCAAGCACCACTGAATTCTTCTCACTAAGAAAACACCCAGATCTATAGTCTCAGCAGCACAAGGCCCAGAGAAGTCAAGTGCATGGTTCCAGGGCTGCTCAAAGTCAGCAGAGAGCCACTCCACCACTGCCCAACTCCTAGGCAGCAGCTTCCCTCTCATCACTTCACAGAGCCTCTGCCATGAGAACCACGAGGACAGTTTTCTCACTGAGATCCAGGCCAGTGAGCAAACATCACCAGCGACTCTATAGTCTACTGCAGAGGTGGGGGAACCATGTTCTGTCATGGGCCATTGGCCCTCATTAAAAATTGATCGCAGGATGCTCACTCATTTGGGCACGCATGGAGGCTCAGGGCTTCTGCCTGCAGTGGGGCGTGCCAGCGCTCTCAGCTCCTGCCCTGCAGGAGGGTGCTGACATTCAGGGCTTCTCCCTCCAGAGCAGTGAGCCAGCAATCACAGCTCCAGGCCCATGGGGGATGCAGTAGCTTGGATTCAATTAAGCAATGGGCTGGATCCATCCCACAGGCCTAGTCTAGCAAGAGCCCATGCAGCTGCTGTTCTGTACCTGTGCAGCTGGCGGTTCAGTCTTCCCTTGGGGCCATTGAGGTGCCTGGTGTAAGGCATCATGAGCCAGGTTGGGTGCCCCAGAATCCCTGTTGGACTTTCAATAGTGACAACAATGGGAATATCCCAGTCAGGACACAATGTCCCTGCTTGCAGCTTTCAGAACAGTCCTCATAGATTCAGGGACTGAGGTACGGCTGACTGGTCTGTAGTTCCCTGGATTGTCCTTCTTCCCTTTTTAGAGATGGGCACTACATTTGCCTTTTTCCAGTCATCCGGGACCTCTCCCGATCTCCACGAGTTTTCAAAGATAATGGCCAAAGGCTCCGCAATGACATTTGCCAACTCCCTCAGTACCCTCGGATGCATTAAATCCGGACCCATTGATTTATGTATCTCTAGCTTTTCTAAACAGTTCTTAACCTGTTCTTTCTCCACTGAGGGCTGCCCACCTCCTTCCCATACTGCGTTGCCTAGTGCAGTAGTCTGGAAGCTGACCTATTTTGTGAAGACAGGCACAAAGAAAGCATCGAGTACTTCAGCTTTTCCCACATCATCTATCACTGGGTTACCTCCCTCATCCAGTAAGAGCCCCACCCCCCCTCTGATCACCCTCTGGCCTATGTTATTAGAGATGTAAGTGACAGGCACCTTCCTCGCCCACCCACAGACATCAGTTAGGTGTCACTGGTGAGTCACCAGCATGCACGTAACCATAGGAAAGTGGCCCTTTCTCTTGCTCCATGCACATAAGGAATCCACGCCTGAAAACCCATTCCGGGGCTGTCCGTGGGGTGTGTGAAGGCCTCCACAATGGCCCCCCAAGTGAGCATGCTCCAGCTGGCCAGGGGAAGGCAGGAACAGCACACAGCCCAAGCCGCCCTCCCCGATGCTCTGATCAGCCAGGAGAAGACTGGGGCTGATTTCCCTGCTTACCATTGTACCAATATGGCTTTTCTGCAGCCATGCTGGAAGGCCTGTGCTAGGCATGAACCAAAGCCGCCTTCTGTAGCCAGACTGAAGAGCAGCAGCCAGTACTGTAAGGCCTGGAGTCACAGACTCACAGTTCCATCTAAATTGTATTACGAAGTGTCACCCCCAGGCTGTGAGGAGGGACGTTGCCCGGATAGCCCCCCACTGTCACCAGATAAAGAAACAGATCTCAAGATGGGTAAAGAAATGTGTGCGTAGCACCGTTCTGTCTGGCAAGAAGCTGCTTATCCATAGAGGATGTTGTGGAATCCTCATCCTATGAGCATTGTCACTACACTTTCCTGTTGTTTGACTGTGTGATCTCTGTCTGGTTTGTAACTGTTTCTGTCTGCTGGATAATTAATTTTGCTAGGTGTAAATCAATTAAGGTGGTGGGGTATGATTGGTTAGGTAATTTTGTTATGATTGTGGGGGAAGCCATAAGATGGAGAAAGCCATGCGTGCGCTCCCCTGCACGGACCCCACAAAGGAGGGTTGCAGCACAGCCCCCGCCTCAGCCTGGCAGCAACCGACCCTGGCGGGACGTGGCCAGGAGCCATGCTGCCCACGGACTCAGAGCTGGGCCCTGCCATGCTGCCCACGGACTCAGAGCTGGGCCCTGCCTGAAGAATGGGAAGGTGCGCCAACAGGGGAAGTCTGCCTGCCTTTATCAGGATTGGTGAGCATGACCCTGTGTGCTTAGCATGTGCATTCTGCTTGTTTGGGAATTGTCAATCAATAGAGGATAAGGACATTACTGTGTGAGGCTCTTTCAAGTGGCTAAAGATCCCACCAACCCACGGGTTGTTACATCCTGAGCCCTAGGAATTGGGTGAGGGTGGGTGTGTAAATTCACAGGGTTGCACCTTGAGCCCTAGAAACTGGGTAAAGATGTGTGTCCCTACAGTGTGGAAGGGATAGGGAAATTTGTGTGGGTAATACCATGGCTGGGCATTCACAATTTTGTGCTGGACTTCATTTTGGGCCAGTAACTTTCCACATACCTGTGAGCTTTGTTGGAGACAGTAGATTTCCAGGCACATGGCAGAGGATATTAACCCCCTGAGAGAGATCTCTCCATTTCCAGTTCTAGTTCTCTGGACTGTGGATTCACTATCAAAAGGATCATTTTAATATTCGAATTGAGGTCCTTCCCAAAGAGACACTACAAACCTGTTCCTTCACTGCTACAAACTAGCCACAGGCACTTTGCAATCACTTACAGGTATACGATTCCTTAACCATTGTTCATTCTCTTTATTTATTCTTGACCCTTTAGATTTTAGTTACTGCAGGATCAGCACCACCGAGATTACTGGCTAAAATCAAGGTTATATGTTGCCCTGGCTCTGTGGCTGATCTCTTGGGATTAGAAGGATCCTTTGTTAGATGAAGCTGGTTCGCAGTAACCACTCCTTCTGGAGTCCAGTGTCTGGGTAGTGAGACAAGGGCTGGGATGCCAAGGAGGCTGCATCTTTCACTTCCTGCTCACCAATGTGGTGAGCCAGAGGTCACTTTGGTTCCTGGCTCGGTCTATCTGTGGGAAAACAAGCCCTATTTCTCCAGCCTGTCCTGAATTTGGCATCCTCAGTTGTCACTCACTGAAGCACAGTGCCTGCAGCACCAGCCCAATGAGAGGCAGAACATGCTGTGGGCAGGGCTGTGAGCCTGGCTAGCTCAGTCAGTAGAGCATCAGACTCTTAACCTGAGGGCCCAGGGTTCAAGTCCCTGGTCAGGTGAAGGGGCCTTGTGCTCCCCTCTGCAGTTTCTCCACCTCCCCCCACCCCTTCAGGCCTGGTCCAGAAGAATCCTCTCTCTCTCTGCATGAGTTGTGGGTGAGCCCCCTCCCTTCTGGAGTTTAGGCCCTGGGCCACTGACCTAAGCTCTGGCTGGCTGGTGCTGACTCCCCCTGCTAACTTGGGGGGAGAAGGAGCAGTGTGGGTGAGGCAAGTCGTTGCCTCCTGTGGATAAGTGCATACCATAGGAGAGCCCTGCGCACCACCCTCATTGCACCTGTGATCATGGGGTAACTTCAGCTTCCACTGTTGGCATTTCTTCCCCTTCTCTGTCACAGCCTGCATGCCTCGGTAGCTCCTCCCATCTCCCATGATGCAATTCCTCAGGTAATCTGTGGGCAAGAAGGGTGTGCCATGAGCAGCCAGCCCCACAGTGAGTGGGCTGGAGAACCAGAGAGCTAAGGCAGCCTGCCAGGAGCTGGTGGCTTGAGGGCAAGCGGAGCACAGAGCTGGCCACTTTGGGGTGGGGTTACTGCCAGAGGAGAGGCTGGCTGTAAGGTTGGAGTCTAGAAGCCAGGCAGTGCTGGGCATCTTGGCATGCAGCACGCTGCCAAGTGCCCAGTCTGGCAATACCTCCAGTATCCCACGGCCATTGGCTGGACTGCTCTGCAGCCAGACACATAGTGCCCACCCCCCGGACAGCAGATGGACATGACTGTGGCACCCTCCAGCACCCAGCCACCCCAAATTCGTCCCCATGCCCTTCCCACATCCCTTCCCCGCCTGCCTTTCTTCTGGTAGAGGTCATAGTGGACGTTCCTCTGCATATGGGTGTGCACCGAGTGCTGGGTCCATGGCAGCAGCTGGCAGCCGTGGCGCTGATGGTTATAGTGAAAGGCCCTGAAGATCAAACCAAGAGTCTCCTTTGGCTCAAACTGGACCACACATTCCCACCCCCCAGAAGAACCCAATTTCTCCTCAAGGGCTGGGCTGGAGCCAGTTCTGCAGATCAAAATGCTCTTCAAAGCGTGCCACCCCCCAGCCGGAGCAGTGAGCAGCAGGGACTGGAGGAGATGGACAGGAGGGACGGTGAGGCCAGTGGGTGAGGCCAGCAGGAGCAGTGGCAGCAGGAGGGGATGGAGGGACGGGCGGGTGAGGGCGGCGGGAGCAGTGAACAGTGGCAGGAGGAGGGGATGGAGGGACGGGCGGGTGAGGGTGGCGGGAGCAGTGAACAGTGGCAGCAGGAGGGGATGGAGGGACGGGCGGGTGAGGGCGGCGGGAGCAGTGAACAGTGGCAGGGGAAGGAGAGGAAGATTTGGATACATGGCTTGGGGTATTGAGCTATCTCGGGGATGGAGGGACGGGCGGGTGAGGGTGGCGGGAGCAGTGAACAGTGGCAGCAGGAGGGGATGGAGGGACGGGCGGGTGAGGGCGGCGGGAGCAGTGAACAGTGGCAGGAGGAGGGGATGGAGGGACGGGCGGGTGAGGGTGGCGGGAGCAGAAGGAGAGGAAGATTTGGATACATGGCTTGGGGTATTGAGCTATCTCGGGGATGGAGGGACGGGCGGGTGAGGGTGGCGGGAGCAGTGAACAGTGGCAGCAGGAGGGGATGGAGGGACGGGCGGGTGAGGGCGGCGGGAGCAGTGAACAGTGGCAGGAGGAGGGGATGGAGGGACGGGCGGGTGAGGGTGGCGGGAGCAGTGAACAGTGGCAGCAGGAGGGGATGGAGGGACGGGCGGGTGAGGGTGGCGGGAGCAGTGAACAGTGGCAGGAGGAGGGTATGGAGGGACGGGCGGGTGAGGGTGGCGGGAGCAGTGAACAGTGGCAGCAGGAGGGGATGGAGGGACGGGCGGGTGAGGGCGGCGGGAGCAGTGAACAGTGGCAGGAGGAGGGTATGGAGGGACGGGCGGGTGAGGGTGGCGGGAGCAGTGAACAGTGGCAGCAGGAGGGGATGGAGGGACGGGCGGGTGAGGGCGGCGGGAGCAGTGAACAGTGGCAGGAGGAGGGTATGGAGGGACGGGCGGGTGAGGGTGGCGGGAGCAGTGAACAGTGGCAGCAGGAGGGGATGGAGGGGACGGGCGGGTAGGCAGGGGCGACCTCGCCTAGCATCCAGGATCCCAGCCAGCTGCCTGGGTACTGTATAACCCAGCAGATTACGACGCAAAGGCCCCAGTGCCAGAGTGGCCAATGGGTGATGGCATCTGTGTCCAGGAGTCTAGGCCAAGGTGGACCCCAGGCGCCCCGGCAGGGCTCCTTGGCTGGTGCATCGGGTGCATGAGGGGAGACTCCATACCCTGCCCTGCTGCCCAGCGGAAGCCCCAGTGCTGGGCACTGGCTGTGCTCCTGGGGCAGAAGCAGCTGTGGCTTGGGCTGCAGGGGGGTGGGCAGAGAGAAGCAAACAGGGCCGGCATGGAGTGGACTGGGCAGCACCTGGCACCCCCCACACCCCCTCTGCCCCGTGTGCTCCCCAGGCCATGGCTCACCTGCAGTCCAGCAGCGCCGTGCAGCGCCGGGCACACTCCTCGGCATCTGTCGGCTCCTCCTGCTTGGTGCTGGGGCTGGGCTGGCTCAGGAAGAGCAGCTGGGTGGCTTTGAGCCTCTGGAAGTCATTGAGAGGGGAACGCCCTGGCCCTGGGGACACAGCCAGAGACACTCCCCTTGACAACCATGCAGTGGGGGGAGGGGGGTACTGGGCCTTTGCCTCACTCCCCACCCTGCACAGGGAACCAAGAGGAATCGTGTGAAGCAATAGGGTCAGGAACCAGAGGTGCCAGGACAGGCAGTGGGCCCATGGGCTGGCAGCAGGGCCTAGAGAGGCGAACGCCCTGGCCCTGGGGACACAGCCAGAGACACTCCCCTTGACAACCATGCAGTGGGGGGAGGGGGGTACTGGGCCTTTGCCTCACTCCCCACCCTGCACAGGGAACCAAGAGGAATCGTGTGAAGCAATAGGGTCAGGAACCAGAGGTGCCAGGACAGGCAGTGGGCCCATGGGCTGGCAGCAGGGCCTAGAGAGGCTGGTGGCAGAGCTGGCACCAGGGCTGGCAGTGGGGATCAGTGAGCTGGCAGTGGGGCTGGTAATGGTACCAGCAGTGGGGCTGCTAGCAGGGCTGGCAGTGGGGCCAGTGGGCAGGGAGCAGGGCCGG